TCCTTATTTTTTCATAGAATTCTAATCTGTAATAAAAAATAGGTATTTTCATCGAAAAAATCAACCTGGGCCTTATTGGATCCAAAGAAGACTCCGAGTTCAAAATCTAAGTAGTTTATCTGATAAATTATTTACCTTCAAATACTACAACTTTTATTTGAAATATTTTTTTCGAAAATGTATTGTTTTCAAGATATTTCGGTATATAAGTTAAAATGGGACACCTTATATATATATATTTCGTCTCCGTTTCTGACTCTTATTATTCGCCGTCAACCTTGCGAATTGTTTGGGATCCTGATAAAATATCGGTGTTATTCTACATTGTAGCTACATAGTAAGTTTATAATAATAATTACCAACAAAATCAGTAAAATCATTTAAATCAGTTTAAAATATGTTAGCATTAACTTATATTTAATTCTAATGCAAAAGTTATTTCTGGGTTCCTTGGCTTGCGCATTTAGTCCATGAATCAGAAGAAACATTAATGTTACGACAATCGTACAATTTATTACTAATTATTGTACCAATTTTTTTTTTTTATAAAAAACATTGGAGAGTCCTAACCGAAGGCTGAAACTTTCGTAAATTCCGTTTTACGTTAATTATGTAAATTATGGCCGAACTTGTGCATTAATGTAATTGATTTTATGCAATAAATATATTATTGCTTATTGCAACTCTCGCTATACCAGCGTTGGCTCTTATTTGTCTTTATTATAAATTTATATTCATTGTATATCTACAGAGCTGTTTATCATATCTTAAATATAAATTTAGTTAAACTTAGTTTCAATTTAAAAAGCTTGTTTAATTTAGAAAGCTTGTCTGCAAAAAAGCTATATAAGTGTCATTGTGAAAATTAATATATTATGAATAATATTATCATATTACATGTTTTTTATTATCGTGAATATCTACACCAATAGCTGACAAAAAACGATTATATTTGACCTGTAGTGCGGTTCTGTAACTCATTATTGCAGTTAACGATAACGAGACTATCGTTAACTGCAATAACAAAGTTACAAAATCGCACTACTGCGCATATAAATGATATAAAAAATGCGGCCAAGTTCAGTCCTACATTTTACGACAGTCGGAATCTCAAATTATTTTTTGATAAAATCATAATTATTTATGAACAGATTAAAGATATATATGTATCAAAGTAATGCACGTCAATATTTGATCTTTATAAAAAATTATAAGCAATTGAATAATATAAAAGTCTTTATCAATAAAATAATGTGAATTATAAATTCTAATATTTATTAATTTCGGGTGACTTTTAGGAAGATTCGATCAACTTAATCGTCGATTAATTTTGCTATGACCAACAAATAGCTATTGGCTACTTTTGCTAGTTACAACCTGATCAACAAATTAATCAACGATTTAATCAACAATTAAGTTAATCGGAGATTGGTAAAAGTTATCTTAAATTAATAAATATTAGAATTTATTAACCGCATTATTTTATTGATAAAGACTTTGATCTGCATTTCATGCAATATTTCTTATATATTTCCTGTCAATACTATTTATTTCGACAGAAAACTTATCTTTTTAAGCTATTTCGTCTCAAATGTTTACGCGCATCACTTTGACATTTATATATTTTTAATCTAATCGTGAATAGCTACGATTTTATTAATAATAATGTGGGATGAGCCACTAAACTTGTCTACACTCTCTACGTCATTTATCTCCGCAGGTCGAATACGCAATCGTCCATTAATAGCCATATTAGAAATCCAAATATAATTTTTCATGTGTAATTTTTACAAGTTTACATGTATAAAAATGTATAGTCACTTTTTACGCATTTATATACGTATTTTGTTTACACATTTTATCTGTTTAAATTTACACATTTAAACGTGTATTTCTTATATTCTCTCTTTTTTTAAGGATGCTAACAAGTTCAATTAAAATATGTTCAATTAATAAGTCATTGTTCCCACATAAATCGATTTATTAAGTGGTATTTGCTGGGATAATAGTGGGGTTTAGCGGACCCACTTTCGATGATCTTAATATATATTATCAAGGACACCCTCCTGAGTGACATTCAAGAAGTGCAGTGTGTTTGTTAGCATCCTTAAAAAAAGAGAGAATATAAGAAATACACGTTTAAATGTGTAAATTTAAACAGATAAAATGTGTAAACAAAATACGTATATAAATGCGTAAAAAGTGACTATACATTTTTATACATGTAAACTTGTAAAAATTACACATGAAAAATTATATTTGAAAGTTTTAGCCGTCGGTCGTTGTTCGTTAAAAAGTTATTAACAAAAGAAGTTGGATAAAATGGATGTAATTTTTGGACACCGTATATACAAAAACATCGAATTTGTACGCCAGGAAGGTGTCTGCTGCTACTCTGGGTAATATTCAAAAGGCTTTAACTGGCGCTCATTGTTTGTTAAAAAGTTATTCACAAGAAAAGGCACATTAATTACGCACGCGCGCGTGCGTGCGAAAAATATTTCTGTCACACCAATTCATCAATAAAATATTTGTTCATAAAATATTTATTTCATGTATTTTTCCTTTAAAAAAAATCGTGTGTTATATTGTATAAAATCAGGAGAGTGCGACGCGGATAGCGACAGAGGCACAGCATCATGTGTCGTAAAGCGCCATCGGGCGATATTCTCGAATAAGCTCATCCGCATGGGGCCCAAGCCCCCACTCTTCGCGGTCTCTCTGGAAGTCAGAACAAGCTTCGTCGTCTACCGTGACACATGTTGTAGCCGTGGATCGGTCTCGAGTAATGTTCTGCATTCGAGTTATTCGTAGCATGCGTTCCAAGCAACTAAACCAGTAATTGCCTAAGAGATCAGTCTTCAGTGCTAAGTTCACGCAGCTAGTAAAAATTCGAGCAAATTGATATTTGGCAACTGTATAAGCGGATCCTTTGCAGTTGCGTCATCCGGGCTTCGGCTCGGTTCTGCGCGCAATGCCATTGTGGCACTATACGTGTACCGGCACGATTTCAACCACGTGCGTCGCAACCGGTCAGTAATACCCGTCGTCACGCGTGTCCACCGTGCAACGGTACGGTGATATTACCCGGAGAGGATCTAAGTGCGTGCGGACTTACAACCCGCAGGGCATTCTAAGTGCGTGCGGACTTACAACCCACAGTGCATATTAAGCTTTAAAATTTAAGCTTTAAGCTCTAAGCCGTAAGAAATTGACCAGTCACAGTCAATTATTTTTCTTATAATTGACTGTGATTGATCAACTTCTTACGGTTTAGGACTTAATGCTTAAACTTTATGGTTTAAGTTCTCATTGTAGACCACGCTTAAGAAGCGCCGCACACGAATTGACATAACAGTAACGTACCATAAAAACTGACCAATCACTTTAAGTATCGTCGAACCGTAAGGTCGCCATTTTTGTGAATACTCGATTGTAATTGGTCCATTTTTATGGTATGTCTTACGTTACTGTTATGTCAATTCGTGTTCGGCGCCCTTAAAGCCCATTCTACATTACTCGCAATCGCAAAATTGCAAAGAAATTGACCAATCATAATTTTTCGATCACAAGAAGAACAATCGACTTTGATTAGTCAATTTCTTTGCGACCTTGCGATTTGCGATTAATGTAGAATGGGCTTTATGTCGTTATGCAAGAATGTATGCTTTCTGCTTAAATATCTTACATTTTGTCTTTATATATGTATAATTTATCTACTGTTTCTCTTACTATTCGTTTTATAAGCCGATTTTAACTTTTTTTTTTACAAAAGTAACGATTTTTTTATCGTTACTTTTCAAATAACGGTAACACGTTACTTTTTAGAATCAGTAACGGATAACGGTAACGAGTTACTTTTTACCGCAAGTAACGGTAACGGTAACGCGTTACTTTTAAAAAGTAACGTTCCCAATCCTGGTTTTTACACATTTCATACTGCGTATCGTTTTACACAGGAAAACGTTATCTTATACTATATAATGTGTTACCTTACATTATATAAATGTGTAAATGTCTTTCTTGATGCATGATAATGTATAATTTTTACACAGTAAACAAAATTACACACATAAGTAACTACTTGTACATACATAATTATATACTTACTACATATTTGGATTTGCAGTGAATGAACTTGTTTATGAATTAAGTAGTTATTAATGTAAATATAAAGTAAATACAGAATTAAATACATAATAGTAATACGAATGAATTTCTGTAATTTGAACATTGAATGGATTAAAGAATCATTTAACACTAAGTTATAGCAAATTCTTATAAAAGTACTTCGAAATTTACTGAAACGAATTCTTTTCACTAGAATATCAAATATGACGAATGCTACGCAGATGAGTGGGTCATCACGAACACTTCAGTCAAGTGGGACGGAGAAAATAAAACTATTACAGCAGTTGCTATTAAAAACAATGTACGAAATTATATCTAATGAAACATCATCTTCATACGGATAATATCAACAATTATGAGACACACGATATACAATGGAATTCGAATCGATAATTTAATAATAATAACTTAGCACGTTAACTATCTTTTATTAAATATTTAATTGCAATTTGAGACGTACATATATATTTATGTTCCTAAACCAAAGTGTGCTTTTCAGCTCTCAAATAAGGTTTATTGTATATACATTGAGATAACCGGTTGCAAGGATAACACTCAACGCAGAAACGAACCGACAATTATGGTTAATAATCATGACGGCAAATGTCAAATGGCTACAACCGAGAATGAAATATATAATGTCACGAAAGTAATCACATTTATATCAATTATATTTTTCCATATACACACAATTCTTGATAAATATTGAATTAGACAAATATCCTTATGAAGGAAACACGTTACCGTTACTTATTACCAACTGACAAAAGTAATTCATTACCGTTACTTGTGTTGAAAAATAACTAATTATTTTTTTGCTATTATTATTATTCAATATTATTATATAAAACATAACGAGCTGTTACAATTTTTGTTATTTTTTCTAATTATGTCGAAAAATTTCCTTTATTTTTATATTCATGATTGTTAAAGAGATGTAATTACGTTACCATAATTGTAAGTAGCAAAATAATAAACGATTCGTTAACGAGAAAAAATTGAGCAATTATCAAATTATTATGAAAAATAGAATTAACGTAACGATGAACAATAATAGATTAACAATAACAATATTATCAATAACATATTATTTCTCAATACTGGTTAAGTATTGCGAGATGTCTCCAATGTTATGGTTGGTATTCTAAAATTTAAATAAAAATTATGTATTTTGCTACATTGCAATATTGAACTGATTGGAAGAGAAACTCGTGAACTCGTGTATTTGTCGCACGGCCAAAGTTAGTGCGCACGCACGTAAATGACCTTCAACTTTTTCAATCCCGTTGAATATTACCCAAGTATGACTTCCGACGCGCTCGTTGACGTCATATAGGAGCGGGCTGCGACTGTCAACGCCGCATTTACATGCATACATTTCGTCTTGTCCTCGCGTTGCATATGCCATGTGTTAACACATGAACAATCGGGTGTACATGAAATTTACGCGCGTGCGCTTAATGCGCTTGAGTAAGAGGAAACTAGCGTGAAAAGCTGTTTGCTGAGCTCCATTGTTGGAGACACGGAACCACACGCGTATTAAATATTACGTATGCATACAATGGCACGAGTGTAACACGCGCTAATTAGAAGCACACACAAATAGGTGGTGTATTCAGACAACTCTACACTCTCAATATCCATACAACTGTTGTACTTTTTGCGTTTACAACTAAATATTCGATCATCATCGTTGACTGATCGTAAGTGAATCGAACGATCGACAAAATATACATGTAATTAGAAAAAAATAGAAAAATATATTCACTGATAGTGAAAAGTATCCTCTGTCGTAAGCATATGCTAGTAAAATATGTTTAAAAGATCTAACACTTTTTTTCAATTTTCAGAAAGTAGCCAAACTGGAAAAAGATTATGAATGGCTGACTAAATCATCTGAGTCGCTATTAACAGAAAAAGAACTCTATAAGAACAAGCGTTGTTTTTAATTAATAATAATTTTTAATTATTTAATTATTTTTAATTATTTAATTATTTTTAATTAATTAATAATAATTTTTAATTAATTAATAATAATTTTTAATTCATAATAATTTTTCGATTGCTGATAACGATGTGTAATGCAGTTCACAGCTTCATATTACATACTTAAATGAAAAATGTTAAACGTGCATTTAGTATAGTATATACATTTAGTATACACATATTAGTATATACATTTACAACTACGTAAAGTAAACGTGATTACACGCGAAAACATGTATCTATTTACTAACTTTGAAGTTAATAAAGTTTATTCGTTTATCCGTTTATACACCTTGAAACAGAAACAAAAGCCGCTGGCCCTTTCTGGCAATTGTGCAAGCCAAGGAAGACAATTGTATTGTACAATCGTATCAAATTAAATTGTATCAATAATGACATCACACCGCGTGTATATGCCTTTTTCTTTCACAAGACTCGTATAAATAATTATTTGTGATTTCAAATATACGTTTATACGTATCGCAGAATCCGTTTAAACAATTAAATGTTTAATTATATTGAAACGATTTCCATCAGAGAGAGTCATTTCTGAACGGATTTACGCTAAACGTTTAAACGTGTATTCGAAACAAGAGATCGAAGCTCTTGATTCAAACACAGAGTCATAATCTGACATAAAGGCATCTGTGTATATGTGTATGTGTGTGTGTGTGTGTGTGTGTGTGTGATGCAAAAACGGATTCAAATTAAGATTGAAACTAAGATTCGAATATGAATGAGTAGTAACATAACGATTTTGTGAAAATTATTTCTCATAACACATAATACCATAATCCATTACGTTTGACGTAATTGAATTAAGCAGTATGCAAATATCACATCAAAATCGTACTGATCGAACTTATATATTTAGTTACATTAACATTTGATAGTGGTGGTTGACATAAAACGTATCCTCCCTCTCCATATATCGTGCAAAAATAAACATCAACATAAAGTTCTCAATCAGGTTTCGTGTCGAATGTACGGAAACGCTGTATATTTACTGCGAGAAGAAAGATTTAATTTTCAGCGACGCACTCTTCAGAAGTCAATCGAGCGTTATAATTGGACAATTACAGAGACAATGCCTTTCGAAGTTTGAGTGCTCGAAGAGTACTAACCGCGATGATAGCTCGAGAAGCACTCCACAGAAGGTAAAAACCTTTCCGCAAAAGTTTTTGCACGATCCGTCATCTATTAATCATTTTTACAGTGTGCCTCGATGATCACTTTATATCACTCGCATTTATAATTATTACAAAAACCGTGATACGGTTACAATTTCATTTTTCGAGATGGTTCTGTTCGAAATCAAGAAATCAAATCAAATATAAGCTAGAAATTGTCGACAATCGGATAGAAACTTCAGAACAACAATTTGTAATAAAGTAAATGTATTAATCTTTGAATTGTATTTTCTTTGGACTTTTAAAGGGATGCAAAGTGAATAACAAACTCCAAAAATGTCGATAACGTAGGAACGTCTAAAGTCTAGACGATATATCAGATAAACATTAACACGATATCAGGCTGTCCTGTTTATATTTTTTGTACATATAGAGGAATATGGAGAGTACTGAACAGAAATTTAAACGTAACAATTGTACACACACACACACACACACACACACATATATATATATAATAACCTAAAATCTAATCATACATATATATGCATACGAATATATATGAAATTTATACATTATGGTTATATATTATGGTTATTCTTCCTTTTTTCTCTTTGAAATATATATATATATATATATATATATATATATATATATAGTAATCTAAAATCTAATCATACATATATATGCATACGAATATATATGAAATTTATACATTATGGTTATATATTATGGTTATTCTTCCTTTTTCTCTTTGAAATATTTTCATATATTAGTTTCCTTTTTCCTTCTTTTTCTCTTATTTGCGCATAATTTCATATAGAATATTTTAATTGTTTACTGTTAAAAAACAAAAAATACTTACATTGAAAGAAATGGCTTGGTGAATGATATTATACTCGTCTTATGAAAGTAATATTATATGCGAATTTATATGCGATATCTGGTTTACATATCCAATATTCTGATTACGATGCCTCGACACATCTGATAATCGGTACCGAGATATTTAGTTGTAGGCATCTAGACAGTTTGGTAATTCTCTCTAGACGTGTGGTACTATTGATGCGATAGTTAATTGTAACACGCTGCGACGTTTCCTTTTTCATCTATACTAATTTGTAAAGTCAATGGTATAAAAGAATGGACGCTGAAACCGTCAAATATTTGGAAGAATAGAATTTCTTAAAATATGTCGACAAATTTGGAAGTAAGCATATGAAGATTATATACAGTAAGTATATGAAAATTATATATATATAATATGGTCTAATATTACTTCATAACTGTTCATAACGTTCACCAAATGAATTGTATGCTGTACCAGACGGTTTGATCAACGTATTTAAACATTACTATAATACTATTTAGACAATGCGCTCACCAGATAGTTTGGTATCATTGACTAAATATCTTGTTGCACGATTATTCACCCTATCCATATTTGGTTTGATAAATCTAAATAGAGTATCTGGTTAGTTCTGGTTAGTATCATCAGACATTTCCTTCAGTGTATTCCTTATAAAGTGACATATTACTTAATCACTTGAATAATATACCATACACAAGTATCTGGTAATTTAACTTTTTTACTTTATTCATTATAAAAAAATGGTACAGTTTTCAAATTTAAAAAATTGCGAAGCAGAGATTACGAGTTGTCTCAGAACGAGCGCCAACATTGTCGTTTTAAGTTGCATAGAGTAATTTATGCGAATAGCCGCGCTCACGTTTGCCATTCGCAAAGCGAAGAGCTTACCCCGGTTACGGTTTCCACCGCTGCGAGTCGTTGCCTCGGAACACCGCAATGCGACCGTAAGGCTAATTCACGCTTAACAAGCACGTCGCAGGTTACTCGCCGATGTTGGACTCGAAGCGGATACGGGCACCCGGTGGCGTCATTAATTAATCGCGAACGTATCGAAATATCGTGAACCACCGTCGAATGTAGATTGCGCGCCCCGAGCCACCTGCCGTGACGAGACAGCGTCTGTCAACAGCGGGGAACTTCAAGGGTTTCGGCAAGTCGAAGAGAGCGAACGCGGTGGGGGTGGATGCCGGTTACAGAGCCGGGCGTGCGCTTAAATATTAACAGTGTACTCAGCGGATACATTAGTAACGCCGGAACGACTTGTACACACGGTAGGAAATCTCTTGGTTTTACTTACCGTCGAAATGGGCGAACCCAGCGAACCGGTCGCGGTCGCATGGAAAGCGAATGTCAAAGGAACGTCGATTAACGTCGTTAATGAGCGCGAAAACCACTCCCCGCGCAGCGTTGAAAACGACGCGAATAATCGTGTATTCTATAGGTCTCTTAATACAATTAGATATTTGAATATGTACACATACTGAGAGAAAAATGTATGATATTTGGAACTGTAATGGCATAGTAACAAGATTATAGTTAGGAATATTATTTTTATAGTAAATGTCACCATAATGTTTGTAATATTTACAATATAAGCATAGTATAACTGACCCATGTAAAACTTTTATCAAGAATTATAATTATTTGAAATAAAAAGTATAGTAAAGTAGCAAATATTAAATGGGAAGAGAAATTAACTATTTTATATAGTCAATACAATTGGAACATTTGACAAATATAGGTACATATAACTATATTCTCAAAGTGTGTTTTACTATACACATAGAGTAATAAAATGTTGACTATAAATCGGTGTTTATTCTGCTATATCTTCATGTTTAGATGAACTATTAATATATGTTTGAGATCAAAATGAACTATAAAATATAATGAGATTATAATTATTCTAACTATTTTTTTCTTTCAGTGCGCAGAAAAATAATTTTGCTGTTGTATGCTTTGATTAGTGTTTATAATCTTATAAGACATTAATAAAATAGAATGTTTTAACAAAACATTTTTTAATTCTTTTATGCTTTTGATGATCGAATAAAACTAATTAATTGTTATAGCAAAATAATTTATAGATTTTGTAAAATTATATGTAACAAATACAAAATTGATATTCTTAATAAATATCTTCAGATCTGTCAGATTTTGTTAATACAATATTTACTATGTTAACAAATTATTTTTCTTCTCATATCTGTACGGCAATTAATTAAAAGACAATATATAAAAACATATGTGCGCAGAACATTATCGAAAAACAGGTAAACACTTTTGGGAATAACTGGGTACGAGACAAACATTTTTCGTTATACAACTCTGGAGTCAGAAATGAAAAATAACGCAGCTATGACCCTTCAAAGTTTGAAGTTGCATGTCTGCGAGTTGGACCATACACAATTAATGTTCGAAGTGGCGGCCGCCAACTTCGTTATAAATTTTGTAACGAAAGGCCATAGTTGCGCCACTTTTTTTATCTTTGAATGCAGTCATATAACGAGAAATATTCGTCCCATCGCCCCTTAATATTCTCCGGATTTTGTCTCTGTTGTTCAATAACACTGTGCAAAACGAATATATTCCCATTCCCACGGATTCATTTTATTTCCATCGGGTATAAAGTAAAAGGACACTTTTGGTGGTCGAGGTACGTACGAGGATAAAATTAGTTTATCGTCGTCACGCGTAATTCAAAGTGTACACGCGACTCGCGCGAGCGCGCGCGCGCTTGAACGCACGGTACTTCGCGTACCGCGTGGATTTCTTTCTCAAAGGGCAGCCCGCAGCAATATTTGCTGCGGCTGTGCTGTAAAAAGCGCGCAACGGTCACATAACGTGTCATTCAAGTATCTCTTTCTACCGCCTACTCAGCTTCCTCCCTCCTCCCCCCTTTCTCTTCCTCGTACCCCTTCCCCCTCCGGTAAAAGACTGATCTCTAAAAAGCGTCAGTCTCCGGCGCCAGCCGTGTTTCACGATCATCCCCGCAATGAACTCGCGCCGGATGAGATTAAAGCGTCGCGGGCTGTATGTAACTCGGGTAGACGCGTCGTCCTTGCCAATAGCATTCACGTTCCGCCACCGACGCATCTCCTATCCTCTCCCTCCCCCCTTCCTCTCCTCCTCTCTCCTTCCGTCCTGGGAGAGTCGAGAGCGGAAATAGGATGAAAGTGGAAAGATTAAAAGGGGCGGCGGGCTTAATGAGACAGCCGGTTGTTTCGAAGCGCGGCGCGCGCGCCGCGCTACGGATACTCCGGTTCAAGTATTAATGAAATCGATACCGATGCTGGGATAATGATCGGCTAACGATTTCAACGGTGGCGTCTAAAAAATGTGTATGTGTATGTGTG